TTTCTTCCTTGGGGTTTAAGTTAGAAGTTGAATTTTTCCAGTATTTCAGCTAGGATGTTCTAGTTGGATGACAATCCTGTATGCTACTTTAATGGTATCCCAGAAATCTCTGTTATGTTGCCTTTCATTTCACACACATCAAACCACTTACCAGTTTTCATTTTCATTTTTTCTTTGACTTGTGGTTAAGAAATTTGTTACTTTGTTTTTGAATATTTGGAATATTTTCCAGATGTCTTGATTTATTATTATGGATTTATAATGCTATTGTTATTAGAAAACTTTTGATCAGATCTGAGTTATTTTTAACTTATTTTATCTTATTTTATTTTATGTGTTTGGGTGTTTTGCCTGCATATGTGTGTGTTCAATATGTGCATGCCTAGTGCCCACAGAGGCCAGAAGAGGGCATCAGATCCACTGCAAGTGGAGTTATAGACAGTTGTGAGCTGCCATGTGGGTGCTGGGAACTGAACTCAGGCCCTCTCGAAGAACAACGAGTGCTCTTAACCACTGAGCCATCTCTCCAGCCCAATTTGAGTTACTTTAAATTTATTGTAGGCTTGTTTATGGCCCAGATATAATGTGTCTGGCTAAGTGTTCCATGTTCAGTTAAAGGGAGCACACATTCTGTTGTTCCTGGAGCTCAACAGCCACTAAGCCGTTTGGTGGGTGATGTCAGTTAAGTATTCACGACTTGTTGTTTTCATTCTGCTTCCTCTGTCAGTCACTGAGAGAAAGGTGTATTGGAGTCTGTATAATGGTTTTTCACTGGCCATAGGGTGCATGCCTGTAATCCTAGCACACAGGAGATAGAGACAGGAGGATCAGGAGGAATTCAGGGCCAGCCTGGGGACGTGAAACTGTCTGGAAAAGAACGAAGCCTAGCATAGTTAATTAATTAGCAAGTTTAATTGTGGATTATTTCTATTTCTCCTTCTAGTTCTGTCTGATTCTCCTCCATGTTTTTGACAGCTCCGTTATCAGGCACATTAACCTTTAGCATCATTGACTCCTGAATTATCTAAGTGATTTGATCATTTTTAGGAAAGCTGCTAACAGGGAGTAGAACCAGCCTAAGATAGAGAAGTGTGTTGCAATCAACAAAGCTGAAAAGAGTTGGAGATCTAAAGAGCACTCTGACATTAGACATGGAGGTGCAGAGTTTGGAGTTTGCCCTGCTGGGTTTAGATCTTGCTTTATTCCAGTATTTTCTCGATATGCTCCCATTCCTTCCTTTTGGAATGGTATGTATTTCCTGTGCCACTGTGTGTTGGAAATATGTGATCTGCTTCTTTGTTTTGTTTATACTGGGGTTACTGTTAGAACTCCTAGCAACTCCCCCATGACCATGCATGCGATGGCAAGATGCTTAGTCATCCCAGGGCCTTACATCCTACATAATCCATGTGCTGCATGATCATGTTACTTGTGCATATGTGTGGCATAGCTATGTAAGTCCTTATGCGCGTGTGCGGGGAATCTATAAAAGCAGGTCCCACTCATCCCTCCACCCTTTTTTCCTGCACGATCTTTCCATAGGCCTATGCACCCCCTTCTGTTCCCTTCCCCTCATAAACTCTTACAGTGGGTTTTGTCGTACCTTGTGGCTTTTCTCACATGGTAAACAGCACCACTTAATGAATAACAGTGTGCTGCTTAATAAATAACATTTATAGTTAAGAGATTGCCATGACTCTCAGAAGAGATTTGAACTTTGGGCTCTTAAACAGTGTTGAGACTATGATACTGTGGGGACTTTTGAAGTTGAACTGAATGCATTTTTGCGTTATTATGTGGCTGCAAGCCTATGGGAGCTAAGGAGTGGAATGTGATGGGTTGAGTAAGAACGGCTCCCATAGGCTCGTAGATTTGAATGCTTCGTCACCAGGGAGTGGCGCTATCTGAAAGGATTAGAAGTATGGCCTTGTTGGAAAAAGTGTGTCACTGGAAGTGGGCTTTGGGTTCACGGGCCCAAGCCATGCCCAGTGTCTGTCTGTCTGTTTGTATGTATATATGTCTCCCTCTCTCTCTCTCTCTCTCTCTCTCTCTCTCTCTCTCTCTCTCTCTCTCTCTCGCGCGCGCGCGCGCTTGTTCTCGCTCTCTCTTCTTCTCTCTCTCCTCCCCTCCCCCACCCTCTGCCCTCCAGATCAGGATGTGGAACTCTCAGCTCCTTCTCCAGCACCATGTCTGCCTGTGTGCTGCCTTGCTTCCCTCCATGGCAATAATGGACTAAAGCTTTAAACTGTAAGCCAGCCCACAATTAAATACTTGTTGGCTTTATCAGAGTTGCTGAGGTCATGGTGTCTCTTCACAGCAATAGGACACTGACTGTGATCATCCTGTTCCATGTATTTTAGCCAGAAGTGCTAGACCGAAAGACTTTTTGACCTACATTATGACATCTTTTTTATAAAATAACAAACACAGCACCCTCCCCCCTTGTGAAATATTAGTGCCTTTGTGTTGTCGCTATACTAAGTGCTCATCGGGGTGTGTGTCAAGCACGCCAGTCATGGGATAAGAAATAAAAATTGACACCAGCTCTGTGCCTGGTTGACCGGGAGGGAAAGGTGATAAAGTCGCTGTAAAGGAGGATTGCTGTTAGAGAAAAGTACATCAGTGTACTTGAGGTTAGATTAATGTGGGCGTCTGGCAGACTTTTCAGATACAAACGTCAAGAGCTCAGAGATGGGAGTGGAGATTCATCCTTGTAGACTGCCGAGTCAATGGGCACTGGTGCACAGAGAAGGATAAATGAAATGGAGACTATGGGGAGCAAGTTGGAGTGACTGTAGCACGACCTTTCTCTGCTGTGATTGGATTTTGAATTTAGCATCATTTCTTCGTGACGAACACTAAAAGACAATATGTCGTGTTCTGGAGTTTGCATTATTTGATTACTAATGCTATAGAGAGTTCTTGTTGTTTTTTCCAGACATTAAACAAAGGGCTGGGGATATTGCTCAAGTGACTGCTCAGCAGGTACCAGGTCCTGAGTGTGATCCAGGCACTTTAGAAGAAATAAACAAAGAACACAAATAGTGATTTTCTTTACTTCGAGACAGGGTTTCTCTGTGTAGCTTTTGTGCCTTTCTGGAACTCGCTTTGGAGACCAAGCTGGTCTTGAACTCACAGAGATCCACCTGCCTCTGCCTCCCGAGTGCTGGGATTAAAGGTGTGCGCCACCAGCCGTTTCTCTTTTTGTTAAACCATTATGTAAGAGTGGTGCTTTCAACATAGAATTACAAACAACTGGTTTTCAACATCACTTAGAAACCAGAGAGTAGTGGTGATGTCTTAGTAAAGACACTATCTCTCAGAAAAGGAACTCCATCTCCTGATAGTTGACATAGTGAAGAGATTGGAGTATAAAATCTAATTCAGTTGTTTCTATTGGAATCTGGTTGGGTTGTCATTATGAACCCTTTATTAGCAATAGAGCTGAGCTGATGGGATAGCTAAGTGTGTAAGGGTGCTTGCCACCCAGTCTGACAGCCAGAGAGAGAGAGAGAGAGAGAGAGAGAGAGAGAGAGAGAGAGAGAATGAGTCCTGGAAGATTAAAGAATACCGTTCTGTTCAGAGGACAAGAAAACAATCTCAGAAGTGGAACCCACGCCCTCGGTCAGGACCTATCTGTATGTAACTGAGTCTCCACCTTGCCTCTCCCCCAGCCACTCCAGAGCTCTGAAGCTGATGCTAGCTATTTACTCAACACTCCCTCCTGAACTCTCATGAACATCTCAGGGTGAGCACATGCAGGACCAGATGTGTGAACTGAACTAAGATCAGGAATTCAAGGTCACCCTCCAAGACATAGAAATTTTAAGGCCAGCCCGGGATGTAGGTGACCCAGTCTCCAAAAAAAGAAAAAAGAGGGCTAGAGATGAATCTCAGTTAGTGGAGAGCTTGCCTAGCATGCGTGGAACCCTGGGTTTCATCCCCATGCCACATGAACCAAGCCTAACGGAGCAGTCCTGCAATCCCAGTCCTCAGATGATAGAGGCAGACTGATCAGAAGTCCAAAGCCATTCTTAGCGACATAGAGGTGAGTGTGAGTCTAGTGTCTGCTCTACATGGAACCCTGTCTCAAAAGACAAACAAATAAATAATAAAGAAAATAATAATAGCCTATATTAGTTAAAAATGAGGAGAACAGAAATTTTTTTAGTCTCTTCCCATAGCCTCCTATTTGGTGATGGGAACCCATGTTTTTTCCTGGGAATTTTAGAGGGATTAAGAACACCACAGGCAATAGACTATCACTGGAGTGGTCCCGTGAGGGCCCCCAGTCACTGGAGGGTCTTCATTGCTCTCCTGAAGTATTCCCTCTCACAGTACCTTCTTGGGACTCAACCACTGTATGTGAAAAGTTTCCTAGACTCTCCAGGACCAGATGGGACTGATTGGTGAGTGCGTGAATAAGTCGTCTCGCTGGAATCAGATCCCTGGCAGTTCAGCTAGTCCACCCCCAGCCACTGGAATTATCCCCAGCTGTTGTGGTTTAAGAGTAAAATGCCCCCCATTGGCTCCTGTGTTTTATGGCTGGTCTCCAGTTGGCACTGTTTGGGGAGATTGTGGAACCGAAGTGGGACACTGGGGGAGAAGCCTTGAGGTTCTACAGCCAAGCTTTACTTTCTTCTCCGTCTGTTTCCTGACTCTGACTGTGTTGGGATCTGCTAGCCTCCCGCTAGGGACTGTGTCTCCTGGAACCATAAGCCAGAATAAACTCTCCTTCCCTTGAGAGCATCTTGTTGGGTATTTTGTCTCAACAAACAAACCAGCCTTCCGACTGACCCCAAGTATCTCTGGCCTTCCCAACTGAGATCCATTATGAAACAGAGATATACCATCTTCACAGAGCCTCATTTAAAGTTCTGACCCACAAAAATATCTGCAAATAATAAAATGACTGTTGTTTTATGCCACTAATTTTGAGATGAATTGAAATGGATAACCAGAATGTAGATATTTTCAAAAACCTGTAAGACAATTTATTAACATTCTGGTTTTTCAGACCATGCTGAAAGATATGGGAAGAGGTGTATAAATATGCTTACTAGTCACTAGTCACAGAGTATCTGACAGCAACTTGGGGAAGGAAAGGTTTGCCTTGGCTCATACTCTGGGTGTGTCTATCATGGCAGGGAAGCCTAGTGGGCGGAGTGTAGAGCAGCTGTTCACAGTGCGGCACAGTCAGAAGCGAAGAGGGAATGCTGCTCCCCACAGTCACTGGCTTCACTGCAGAGACAGGAAGCGCACTGCAGGCTTCAGACCGGCCAGGGCACGTAGTAAGACCTGGCTGCAAAGAAAGAAAAACATTCAACACACACCCTCTACAGTGTGTAGCCTGGCTGGTCTAGAACTAGCTCTGTACACCAGGCTGGCCTGGAACTCACAGACATCTGCCTGCCTCTGCTTTTCTTTTTTTGCTGGGCAGTGGTGATGTACACCTTTAATCCCAACACTTGGGAAGCAGAGGTATCCTCACATGGCAAAGAAAGACAGTAGTATGAGGTGATGTTTTATCTGTGTTCCCCAAAAAAGTTTATCTGAGGATCAGAGGGAAAAGCCAGCCACTATATTAGCCATAGAAATCAGGCAATGGTGGCACACGCCTTAAATTCTAACACTAGTTAACCATAATGGTATGGAGGTCTGTACAGACAGACAGGAAGTGACAGTTGGGCATGAAGAGGAAGTGATGTAGCTGGGTGGAGAGAGAAAATGAGTTAGCTGAACAGAAAGGCATGGATATACAGGAAGTAGGTCTGTTTGGAAGCTGAGGGTCAGTAAGGTAAGGTTGGCTTTGGCTTGTCCTCTTCGTCTGATCTTTCAGAATTTACCCCAATATCTGGCTCCGGGTCTTTATTAATCAGACTGTTTTGCAGTTTGTCTTACAGTAGTAGAGAGTTTTGGTATCTAATAATAATCAAGGGCACTAATCTTACTGGTTGGGGCCACTGACTTATGACCTCATGTAACCTTAATTACTTTCTTGTAAAGATAGCAATGCTTAGGACCATGGCTTCAGTGTTTCCATTTGAGAAGACACAGATGTTCATCTGTAGCAGTAGTCAAGAGTACCTTATTTGTGCCTCACTCCATCATCGGTGACACATAGGCTACACTTGGCTTTACCCCGCTACCTGCTCGTCCTCACTTAAGCTAAATTTATGCATGGATCAAGGTGTAAAAGAAGAGATGCAATCAGCTAATCAGTGAAATGACTTCTCTGGTTGTAATGATGTGTACTTTTTACTTGTTAACAACCAAATAGTAATTTTGGTCAGAGGCAAGACAGTCTCAAAGTTGGCCAGTCAGTATGTGGCTCAGAAGCCTCTTTCTGGAATGCAATTTGGTAGACTGTTTGAAAAGACTAAACTGTTGAGATTGTTGAACCAATAAATGTAATCACAGGCTCCATCTGTGGTAGCCAGCCCCCCAGATCATCAGTGAGCCCCACCCCTAGTATTCCCTGTGTTCTCCTTTCCAGAAGCTCTGCTCTCTTGCATTTCCTCGTCAGTGCCTCACTCCCTTTGGAAAACCAGTTCTCATATCTTGTAACTAGTCCTGCATAGTGGCCTTGTGGCAAGGAATTAAAGCTTCCTGCCAGGAATCCCTGGAATAGGCTCGGGAGCGTGTATTAGTTTCCCTCACTGCTGTCAAATCCTGAGGAAGTCAAGAGGAAAGATTTACTCTTTTTGAGACAAGGTCTCTCACTGAACCCAGAGTTTGCTGCTTCAGCTAGACTAGCTGAGCCATGAGCCCCCAGAACCCACCTGTCTCTGCCCTTCTTTCTCACCCTTGGAGCTGGGGCTGCAGATGCACGCTGGCTGGACATGGATGCTAGGGATCAAAGCCCAGGTCATACTTGAACAGCAAGCACTTTACCCACTCAGCCATGTCCCCAGCCCCTAGAAACACTTCTGAAGAGTTTTAGTGATGACATTTATCACAGCTTTCCAGTTGCTTTTTAAATGATTTATGTGAATGGGAAACTTAGAGATACCTACTTGACTATCTCCTGTGTGACTAGGAGATAAATCAAAATAAATGATTTTTGTCCTATTAGATGAGGCTGTTAACACACCATCCTTTTCCCCCAAGTATTGCCTAATGATTCCTGAAGACATACTCATTACAGTCCTCCTTAATGCATTTCTTTTTTTTTTTTTTTTTTTTTTTTTTTGGTTTTTTCGAGACAGGGTTTCTCTGTGTAGCTTTGCGCCTTTCCTGGAACTCACTTGGTAGACCAGGCTGGCCTCGAACTCACAGAGATCCGCCTGCCTCTGCCTCCCGAGTGCTGGGATTAAAGGCGTGCGCCACCAACGCCCGGCTCTCCTTAATGCATTTCTACAAGGGGTGTTGCTACTAAGCTTGTATAGAGGGTTAAGTGACTTTTTTCTAAATATTAATGATATGCATCATTCACTCCTACAACCTTTTTCCCCTAGAAGGTATCAAGAGAGCAGGAGAGAGGGCTCAGTGGGTAAGAGCACTTGATGCTCTTCCTGAGGACCCTTGTTCAAGTCCCAGCACCCACATAGTAGCTCATAACTGTCTATAACTCCAGGTCCAAGGATTTGATACCGTCCTCTAGCCTCTATAGATACTAGGCATGTGTGTGGTACTCAGACATGCATGCAGACAAAACACTCATACACATAAAACTTTTCAAATTAAAAAACATATTAAGCATGCATATATTACTGTTATATGTTAAGCAAAATAGAATCCAGCTGCTGTATATCTGAGGAGTATCTCTACCACTTATTTGTGCCTGGTCTTGCTCAAAATATGTTCTTGAACTTCTTTCCCTATTAAGTAATTAAGAATTATGATACGTGGGTTGGGGAGATGGCTCAGAGGTTAAGAACACTGACTGTTCTTCCAGAGGACCTGAGTTCAATTCCCAGCACCCATATGGTGGCTCACAACCATCTGTAATGAGATCTGGCTCCCTCTTCTGGCCTGCAGGGATACATGCAAGTATACATAACAAATAAATAAAACTTAAAAAAAAAAGAATTATGATACATAAAACTTGGGGTTTTAAGTTTTAACTACATGTTAAGTAATACAAAAATGTCATCATCATGTCATTAACCAACAGGACAAATCAGGCTCCCTTTGTCTCCTTGGTTTCCTCCTAGCCCTGAACTTCAGAGAGTTGAGAAGTTTTTCTATATTTGTCTTACTTTCATATTTAAGATTTATTTATTTTTAATTATCTATATGTGGCAGAGTACACATGAATACATTGCCCTCAAATTCCAGGTGTCAGATTCTTAGAGCTGGAGGGACAGGCAGTTGTGGGCACTTGACGTGAGTGCTAAAGTCCTCACAAGAGCAGTATGTGCTCCTAATGACTGAGCCGTCCCTCCAGCCCCTTACTCTATTTCCAGGTGTGCTAAGCATGGCAGCCTCACCTGTAATCCCAGCACTCGGAAACTCAAGGCCTTCCTCTGCTATGTGATGAATTCCAGGCGAGCCTGGAACTCTATGAGACCCTGCAACCCCCTCACACACACCCCCAAATAAAACCAATTCAAATGAAGTAATTTAAGCATTAGAATGTGGTATTAAGGGAATCTAGTCACTTATCCAACCCACATTAGGTTGTATTTAAAAACAAAAAACAAAAAACAGTGGCCCAGACTAAAGTGGGTAGCATGAAACTGTATGTGAGGGCACATCTGGAGATGCACATCCTCATCTCTGGCACATGCTCCAACCTTTGCATACTTTAAAACCGTTCTTCCAGCTCCACAGATGGTCAGCTTCTGAGTTTCTAAAACTCCTGATCAGAATAGTTTGTCCCAACAAATTCTGGCATCTCCCTGGCCCAGTAGGTTTGTGTTTGTTCAGTGACCATGGACCTAACCTTGAAGGACCTACCGCACAGCCACAGTAACAAATGGTCTCCCATGAGTAGAAACAAATGTTTTACCGCATGAGCAAAGCAACTCAAGAGTGTGCAACTCACTGACAAAAAGTGAGAGAGAAGCAGATTCTTACTAACACACCAGTGTCCACAGCCATCCCACCCGAGATGTCCATACTCGTGGGAACATACCACTAGTGCTGCTATCTCGGGCAACATCAACCCACTGTCAGTTATTTCAAACACCTTTACCCAGGCAAAGTTACAGTAGTCTAATTAAGATACCTCTGACGGTTATTCAGTATGTATAATGACATATTTTACCCCTTCCTAAAATAAAGGAAGTCCATCAAGAGTAAATATTCACTGAGTATATCATCTTTTTATATAAAATAAATCTTCAGTAAAGTCTTCATGTAGGGACAGGATGGTTCTACTCTCCCTTAATCCCAGCATTTGGAAGGCAAAAGTAGGCAGTCCTCTGTGAGTTCTAGGACACCAAGGCTATATATACAGAGAACCTATCGCAAACAAACAAATAAATAGATAAATATACAAACAAACTTTGTAAGGCTGGGCATTGCAACACAAGCCTAGAATCCTAGCACTTACATTGCTAAAGAAGAGAATAACAATTACAGGGCCACCCTAAACTATATAGTCAAAACACACACACACACACACACACACACACACACACACACACACACACTGAGGATATAAAAAAATGATAGTGTGTTTACCTGGCATACTGGAAGTCCTTGGTTCAATCCCCAGTACCACAAAGGGAAAAAGAAAACTTTCTGTCGCAGGGTATAGTGGCATATTTCCATATCCCAGCACCTGGGGTAGATGTGAGAAGATGCAGAGTTCAAGATCACCCTTGAACGTATGAAGTTGAGGGCCAATCTAGCCCACATGAAACCTGGCTCAAAATAAATATACAAATCAATAAATAAATAAGATTGCATGTGTGGAATTCTCAAAGAATAAATTTAAAATGTTTTTTAAACCTGCACATTCTGTGCTGCAGTAAGTATATCCTAATCTCTTATTCTGACTACATTCAGCCACTTCACACCCATTTTATATATCTGATGTTTAAAGAGACTGGTTTAGATGTGGGCTGTCATACCAGTTTCTTGACATTTTAAAATTATACCTTAATTTTCCTAGAGCTTATTTTCCTAGTATATACGTGACAATCTGGTAGAAATGAATAGACGGGTTTTGCTTCATTAATAACCAAATTCATAATAGGTAATAACTTGATGTTCAGGGAATAACATTTCTGATTAACTTAGGAGCAGAGTTATTAACTTATGGTCCAATTAAGTTATGGCAGTAGATTTCAGGGGACCATAAATTAATTGTTTCTGGTTATCTGAATAATCTTTTTCAGGGATTGTATGTTCCATGAATAATTTAAAAATATAAAAGTGATGAATAATAAGGAGTCTAAATCCCAGTAAGAAATATGTAATGAACAGAACTAAATCTTCCGTGGTTTCAGGCCCTGCAATTAGCCTTTTACATGTACACAATTACATATACACATATACAGTAATACACAGTTAAAATTAATATGTAATTTTAAAATACCAAGAAAATGGTATGGTAGCCACCTCTAATGTGTGTCGAAAGCTTTGTCTTCTGTGTGCAGATGTTTCTGTTTTTTCATCCCTGGACCATGAGCTTGTTGAGGACAAGCTGCTTATCAGTCTTCATATCTGGATTGCTTTGCAGAGATCTGGCCCATGATGCATAAGTGAATGTGTTACACAAACAACCAAAATTGATCAAGAGTCATAAATTGAGTGATTTTTTTCAAGTAACTGTTGTTGTTTTTTTAATGTATGCACCTACGTGTATGCATGTGTGTGTACTGTGTGTGTACCTGGTCCCGTGGAGATCAGAAAAGGACAGCAGGTTCCCCCTGACTGGAGTTACACACATTGGTGAGCTGCCATATGTGTGCTGAGGCAGGTTCTGCAAGGGCAACTAGTGCTCTTAACCACTACATCATTTCTCCTCAGTTAGCATCCTGTTTTGAGGTTCATCCCCGCATACCATGTATTAGTAGTTCTGCTGCAAGCCACAAAAAAATATACAAAGTGGGATTTCACCTGATTATGACAAAGCTAATACCTGGAAGAAGCCAAGGGCCTTCCAGAGGTCAAGCTGAGGCTCAAGGAGCCTTGGTGATATTTGACATTTGACTATCAGCCGTTTCCTGCTATGAGTTTCTTGTGTGCTGTTGTAGCTTTTCCATCATTTACTGGGCACCATTTCCCCTCTACTAAAGGAATATTTAGATAACCTTGTTCACTGAAGCTATGCAGAGCCAGACCCCAGTTCAAGCCCCCTGTAATTATCGTTATTGGCAGCATCCGGCCAGGTCCATCCCCAGATGGAGGAAAGTACCTTATCAGAGATAGCTCTGTAGTCTCTAAGAACAGACTTAAGTGTCCAGACTACCTGTTTGAGAAGGCCTGGCGGATGTGCCAATTAAGCTTAACTACCTCCTTTCCCAAATGTTACCTCTAGTTCCAGATCTCCCTTCAACTATCACCAGAGGCATCCAGCTATACACAGGTTGCCTAGCAACTGAACACACCTTCCCCCACCCTGCAGAAAAAACGGCAGATAGCTTGAACAGATAGGAGCCACAGGAAAAAAGAAGACAGTTTTATTTTCTCCCATTGACCTAGCAACTTACAGATTTTTAACATTTTCTACCAATCATGTTTAAGATTATAGTTGAGCACATAAGATCCCTCTTCTTAGATATTACCCAAATTACCTTTAGTTAATTCATTAGTCACTTTCCTTTTGGGTTGCAAATGATAATTAACAATTACTGCCCCTCTGTGTGACTCTTATCATCCTCCGTTTGACCCTGGAAGCCTGACAATCACTGCCTGAGGAAACTCTTACCTGCCTTTATGACCACACAGGAATTCAAGCCTGGTGACCTTGCTCAACCAGGGGACTGCTATTGCCTGGGTTTATAGCTGGACTCTGGAGAGACTTGGGGGAATGGAGAGATGGAGAACGGAGAGGGACAAGGAGGATTTTGACCAGAGAGAACGTGTGGACGAGATGGAAGATGAGGAAGAGTCAGATGGGGAAGTACTAGCTGGGTAAGAATGAGATGAAAAGGACCTAGATGAGGCAGAATTAAGACAAGAGAATTAAGATAGAACTTAGAGGGAGCAGTAGATAAATATAGAGAGAAATTAGACAAGAAAGGAGCTAGGCACGAGAACAGAACTGAAGCTGTGTATAAAGGATGTTATCCCAGAGGAATTAAAGCAAGTGGACTACAGAGCTCGGTGTGCTGAGATTCTATTTCCTGAAAACAGTCCTCGCCGTCAGTAGTTCTCTCTCCTGAGCCCCTGGGATGTGTAAAAGGCTGGTCCGCTAATATCATACAAGATGTTCCATGTTAGTTGTAGCCTTTAGCTTTAAAATTAAAATTAACACACACATCACTACATAGTAAATTTAACTGATAAGCAGGATTCTAGTCACTTAACTAGAAGTTATTAAAAATTACATGATGCCTAAATGATTAAAAAATATGAAAGTGACTAGGAGTGACCTATGGCCAACTGTCAGAGAAACAGATATATAATCACTCACACAACTGGGGGAATTTAGCCTTGGATCAAACTGCAGCTGGGTAATATTTTTCAAAAGAAGCAGATATTTGTGGGAATATTTGAGAATATTCTTCAAAGTATATTTTATATTTATACTGGAGATATTCAGCTTAGTGGACAGAAAATCCCTTTGAAGAGAATATTATTTCAAAATTCCTACAAATATAAAAGTAATATTCAAGAAATAACTAAGTGTCCTGTGTAAGTGCGATGCAAGTCTCATGGGGGACATTTGGGGTAAGAATTGGGCCAAACACGTATTGCTTGTTAATCATAAGAGGGAAGGTTAACTGTTAGGATTTAGAGTTATTAGATTGTATGAGCAAACAAAAGGCACTAAATGATAACGATTTTCATTATTTATTTCAGCCAAGGTAGGAGGCACAAAGGAAACAGAGAGAGGGAATACCAAAGACGGAGAAGAGATTTGATGAATACACATTAAATACCTCACATGCTGTTGTAGGTGCTTGTATGTCCACCCAGCTTCGTGCCTGTGGGTCCCTTGAGGATGACTGCCATTCTTGCTTTCATGGACTTATACTCTGATGAAGGAGACAGACAATAAGTCCTTCACCAGAGGAGGTTGTGAGGAGTCTGACATGATCAAAGAGAAACTGTTTAAAGCAGAGGAAGGAGATGGGAAAGGCCAGAAAGAGAAGTAGATTGATGGGTAAAGGGAAGTGGAATGTTAAGCAGAGAACAGAAAGCAGTGAGGATCCAGCCGTGCACATATCCTACAGGCCGGTGTGATTCCAGCAGTGCACATAGCCTACAGGCCGGTGTGATTCCAGCAGTGCACATAGCCTATGGGCCGGTGTGATTCCAGCAGTACATGTAGCCTACAGGCCGGTGTGATTCCAGCAGTGCACATAGCCTACAGGCTGGTGTGATTCTGGATTCTGTTTTTAAACAGACATCACTCACTGCAGCAGCTAGATGATCAGAGACTGTGACCTTCTACTGGTTCCATTGTACGTGTGTGTAATGCATAAAATGACTTCTAGGTGTGTAATTCCTAGGTAGTGGAGCAAATACATTAGTGTAATTTTGATAGAAATGCAGAAATTTCCATCTAGTTTCCCCCTCCATCAGCCAAGTATGAGAAGCCACAAAATCAAGAAGGGGACAGAAATGTATCCCTTCTGGAGACTTCTGTAGGGAAATCCATGCCCTTGCCTATCCTAGTGTTTTTTTGTTTGTGTTTGTTTGTTTGTTTGTTTGTTTGTTTGTTTGTTTGTTTGTTTTGGAGGGTGGGGAGTTGGTTTTTCATGCAGTGTTTCTCTGCGTAGGTCTGGCTGTCCTGGAACTCACTCTGTAGACAAGACTGGCCTCGAACTTAGAGACCAGCATGCCTCTGCCTCCAAAGGCATGGGCCACCACTGCCCAGACCCTTTCCTAGTTTTAACCTTCATTGCTTGGCTCCTAGTGCTGTTTTACAGCCCTGATTCTGGTGCCTCTCTTACTAGGACGTGTAAATAAGGCGTGAGTGTGCATAACTGATCCAGCACTGGGGAGCTGAAGGCAGGGGAATCAGGAGCAAGCTCATCTGGCTGCATAGTGAGTTCAAGGTCTACCTAAACTGAGACCTTGCCTCAAACAGAGAAGACCCTGTTACAGACTGCCCACCAGTTAATCCTAAATTCCATCTGGTCCTTAAAGCCTGGGTGCTGTGCAAGGTGACCTGCACAGGTTCCAGGGATTTAGAAGGCTGACTTACCTGTGATAGGTGAGCAGAGCAGATCTTACTTTCATCTACATAGTTCTTTCTAGTAATGATACATTTACTGCGGGGTCCAACTCAACTCTTCTGTAAAATAGAGTGAACTTGGCATATGGTTTGGTGGTTGTCTGGACTTTCTGTTTTGTTCCATTATCTGTCTGTGCAAAAGACATATTTTTATTTTCCATTTTTAACTATGTGTGTATGTATACATATATTTGTATGTATGCATAGACACTCACATGTGGATCTATACATGCCCAAAGAGGCCAGAAGAGACTTGAATCCTTTGGAAGTGGAGTTAAAGGTGTTTGTGAGCCACCCAACATGGATGCTAGAGACTGAACTCAGGTCTTCTACAAGAGCTGGAAGTGCTCCCTGGAGCCATCTCTTCAACTCCAGTTTTTTGGTTTTTTAATTACTGAGTCTTGTTAACACCTCATTATCAGGTGGGGCTAGGTGAACTTCAATGTTCCTGTTTGCCATACCCCACTCCAGACTCACATAACGGTACATGGCCTTCTTTTCTCAAGATTGTCCTTGATGTTCTCCTTCCTTCTCTCCTTCTCCTTTTTTTTTTTTTTTG